ATACCTTTGACATATTCCTCATAAAAAGCCCTGAACTAGCTCAAACTACGACACAGCAAAATATCAACTTGCAGCATTGCAGTGAAAAATGAAGAACGCACAACTAAAGATAACATACTCTTTATGAATATATACAGTACATTTAGAAGAATAGTTTTGAGCTATGTATGAGTGTGGTCATAAAATGGAACATGCAGTTGTATAAGGTGAAAAAAACACTAAAAAATTATACTAGTTTGGGAAGTAAATTAACAAACAATCTTGCATGACTAAATTTATCAACTCAATGATAATAAACTCCAAGGCTAAATGCTTTACAGATGTGGAGCTAATATACAGCAGAAGAAAAAATAAATTATTGCAAAAAGGGAAATAAATTTAGAGTAAAAAAAGTTAAAGCCCAAATGGCACCAAATTAGTAGTAGATTTATAGTAGTGATAAATATTTACAAGTTGAAGAATGTGGAATTCTTTTGAATTTTTTTATTCAGAGCCACTTACATACATTATCATAAAATTAAATGGATATGCATTTTCATCACATTGCAACTTTCACCTCAACAAATCAATGAATGTGTGATAGTATGGTATAGAATAGAAATACTATATAATCAAAGTAGTTTTAAAAGACTCTGATTTTATGCTTAGGCAGGAAGCTTATTACTAATTCAGATTTCCTTTTAAAAACTATACAATAGCTCTAAATACAAACCTTGAACCATTACAGAAAGAAGTATAGGAATCAACTGTCTTAGACCTGTAGGATTTGATCTGGAATTCATCATTTTTTCTAATGATGGTTGTCCTAGTCAGTAAACTCAGAATATATCAGGTATTTATTTTACCAGTGATAAAAATAACTAATGTTGTATTTCGATATTTTGTAATACTTCAATCATCTTGATACATTGTGACAAGTAAGATGAAGTCGACCTCTAATCATTTAGTGCCATACTATTAATCTAACATTAAAGTGGGAAGTACTACATTCACTACAGTACTGTTTTTTTTAATATAAATCAAATCAAAATGTAAAAAAAACCAAAGAACTAAAATTGTAGAGTTCTCATTCCTAGGAACATGAATTATTAGTCAGACTGGCATGCATGGAGAATATTTTAAACAAAGTTCCCTTTTACACATCAAGAAGGCAGAGCAGCTGCTTAATCGTCTCAGTTGGATTCAACTGCCATTTCACTTCATTAATTTATGTGAACCTCACTTAGACCATCCCAAAATGTACAATTGCAAAAATCTGTTCATACAAATCAAGGTTGAGAAATTCCCTCTTGACACTCAAACACTAGAAAATGGCCATATCTAACAGCAATTTTCCTTAATTCTGTTGTGTGTATCAACTACCATTTCAAGAAAAGTTGAAACAAGAGTTATTTTCCCTCCAGTGTTCCAACTGGGTCAATTCATTATAGGTTGTGGAAGGTATAGATGAATGTACCATCTAATACAATCTTAAATAGATGCCTATATTTTAATTAATAGTAATGTTATTTTTCAGGGGCAATGATAACCATCAAGAACAAAGTGGGCCTACTTTTTCCCCATTTCCCAATCATTTATCATACAAGGATATATACAGTATCTTTCTGCAACATATAACATATAATCAGTCTGTAATATCTTGAAAATGGCTCACGCATATATATATATCAATACATATATCAGATACATTTATCTCATCATAAAATTGCTGTTTGAAAATTCTAATTTCTGTTTAAATATCCATGAAAGAATATTTATTATCACAACTGTCTTAATGACTTATCATTGGATAATTTTTTTTCAATTATATAAAAAGTTGAAATCATTTGAAACATTACGTTCCATTCACTAAAGCCTCTTCTCTGAGGGAAAATAAAGCGGAAGTAAACAGCCAGTATCTTCGTAAAATATTTGCTCCCAGGAATTCCATAAACTTTTTATCACCAATTTCTGCAGCTGGCAAAATGTCACACCATGTAATCTGATTAACCAAAACCTCATTCTTTGCAGCAAGTACTTGACACCAATCAATCTGTCAGCTGAATTATCCATCTATTGAAAAAAGCATTTCCTTTTAATTTTGTTCATTTAATATTTTGCTTGAGCAACTGTTTAAAATATTCTAGGAGTAGATTCCTTTAACTTGATTACTTGCAAAATAAATGGTGAAAATAGGAAAACAGTTTAAAAGTTTAATGTTGAAGGGTACTGTTAAACTGAAATTCTGTACTTACCTGGAAATAAGCACTCAATGGGATTTCCTACCAAACAGAAATAACTGTTCTGTACAGATTTGGTCTTTTTCATATGCCAACAACCTTTTGAAAATAGTGTTTATGCAATTATAGTACCATGAATAGGATTATAAGTTAGCAAAAGTATATTATTATTGGCTTCATTTATTCTACCAGTTCAATTAATATAAAACAGTTATGAGACACAGTTTAAATTTGTTAGAATATTCTGCATTAAATGGCTGTGTATAAAAGGGTATACATTTAATAATATGCTTAAATCTACATTCCAAACCATTAAAGACAAGTGAAATTAATGTATTTTACTTCCAAGAAAACATTGTTTACAATTATGAGGCAAGCAATCTGCCAAAATGAATCCATTATATTTGAATAAGGAATATAATTTTTCCTATTGGCATCTAACCATGGTAATCGTTATTGTTTCTGCCATATCCTATATTATTGCCTTCGTCTCATAAGCAGTCCAAGACAAGTATATTAAACTGATATCCCCCCCCTCCATTAAAACACTATCCAAGGGTAATGTCATGGTATAGTATAAATCAGTTAGGTTTTGTCCCTAATTATCTTGGGCGGAAGTGACTTAACAAAGGCAGGAAAATGGATTGGGATCAGCAATGGAGACATCAGATTTCACATCTGTCTAGTATGAATTCACAATATCCCCAAATTTCACAGAATAACTCAAGGATGGAGAGCACAAGAACCCAAGAACTTGTGGAGCTAGCCTTCAATAACCCCTAGGAGAGGAACAGACCATATAGTCCAATGAATATTTATTGAAAGGTCAGTATGTTGAATATGACTTCCTCCCAAGTAATGTCTATGATCCTACACAAACGCCAATTCTTCCAAATATATTTCATGTTCACATGTACATTTTAGCACTGTATCCTTAAATTAATTACGCCAGTAATTACATAGGTTTTATGATGTTGGCTGGAGTATTTCAGAAGAGTTCCATTCAAAATGAAGTTGGCACATTTATACCTTAATGAGAAAGAGATTCCCAGAAGAATAGTAAGAATAGAGCAAGCCAGAGTTTAAGTAACAGAACACAGAACACATCTGTATTTTCCAAGCACAAGCTCCACAGATGTTGTAAATTACTCTCTTTTTTCAGTTGTCTCTCTGAAAAGTGTCAAGTTTAAGAATAAAGTTCAGTAAAGACTGGAAATTTTCACAGCAAGAGTTGTCAACAATTATACTCAACAGCACTGGACTTGTTGGATGAATGAATCATTTAGAGAGAAAAAATGATACAATCAATTACATTCAACACTGTTTTAAATAAACTATGCATCAGGCTGTAAGAATAAAGTTTATACAATATAAACCAGACTGCTCTGCACTTTAAATTTAAACACTCAAGCTTATTTATTATTGTTAATCAGATCAGTCTGCTAATCTATAGTCCATGTATAATGGCATTTGCATATTATTCCTATTGGTTTCAATTATGACATCTAAGTAAATTTGCATGCAAACAGACCTATCAATTTTACTTTATGTAACAGGAACTGACTCAAAATACATTCTCAACATTGCATTAGATTGGAGGCAGGGAATGGAGATTTTTGTAATTCTGTACGGTTAAAATTGGCATCTAGTGTATGAATAGATCTTATTTCTCAAATCCAACTAAACCTTTACTATTCGGTGTATTTGTGGCTGTTATTTTTATGGTCTGAAATTATTCTGTTGGATATAAAGATGTTTCAATTGATATAAGGTATAGCATGGGAATATTATTTGCAAACCACTGGTTTTCAAATAATACCAGTATACATTACTCCCCCTCAAAACAAATAAAATGCTAGCAAAAGTTTCCAAAGAAAGAAAATTCAGGTTTCTATTGTACAAGCTAAATAGGGGGAGGAAATAGCTGCATTCAAGAATCAGACCCTTATCCTTCCAAGATGATTTCTATTTATCAAAGATAATATCAGAATATAATCTATTCGCGCCTTCTTTCACATCAAAAAAATCCCCAAAGTATTGTTTCCTGTCACACTCCTTTTTGCAGGAGGAAAAAGGGGTGGGCTTTCCAAGAATACACAAAATATCTATCTGTTGGGCATCCCCAACCCTAGGTGAGTTTGTCTTTCCTCAACTGAAAAGTTAACATTTTGAGGAATCAAACTTTTAAACTGGGTTCCTTCAACTAGCCTTTACACTTTTTGGAGAAAAAGAACCCTACAACTCTTTCAGCCCTTCCTTCTGTCCAAACCCATTCCGTTTCCAGAAAGAGCTAATTTCCTTTAACAATGTACATTGCTCGGTTTGAGAAACGCAATCACCAATAGATTACGCCCCTTTCCTCGGTTCAGGGGTCTGCAGCCAGGTCCTTGACAGAGGGATTTCCTGCCCATAATCCCCCACCCCACCCCACCCGCCTCTCAATAAGTCCAGCAAAAGGCGGTGTAATGGCATCAGCAGCCTTGTAAGCCCTCCGTCTCGGAACTGGGTTTCTCTGAAACCAATACAACTTCATCCACAGATTCCAGAAAATTCAGATCCCACTCGCAGCTCTTTCTAGAGCCAGAATCTACCTGGGCTCCATCGGAGACCCCGAAAAACCGTGAGAAGAGGCTTCTGACCATGCACAAAGCGCCGCCCCCGCCCTGTAATATTTTCTAGGGACCCGATCGTCGTCTCCAGACAAAATTAAGCGCTTCACACAAACAAACAAACAAACACACACACACACACACACACACTCCTTTTTTGTTTTTTACTCACAAGGAGACGGTGCGGTTGGGCAGCAAGGAGGGGTGCAAAGTTTCCGCCAAGTCGCCTCCGCTGCAGACAACTTTGATGCGGAGCGTTTGCCGGCCGGGTCCCTTGGAGCGCTCGGCGGTGCAGAGACAGCTGTCAACCACCAGGTCCGGGCAATTCCTGTTGGCTTTGGAAAGCCCCACCGCAGCGGCCGCCACCAAGCAGAGGGAGTAGTAGCACAGCCCGTGCATGGCGAGGGGGCGGCGGCGGCGGCGGTGCCGGCGCCTCGGTTCTCTTGCGTTTTGGGCGGCTCGAAGTAAGAGGAGGCGGCGGCGGCGGCAGCGGCGGCGCTCATGGCATAGTCGGCGCGCACACGGCAGCCCTCTGGCAGCGAAAGGTGGTCGCCGTCCAGCCTTCACGCCTCTTCCTCCACCTCCTCCTCCTCCGCAGTGGGCCAGAGACGGGAGGCGCTCCCTCTACTCTCGGCACCGCCGCTTCCCGCCGCCCAATCTCTCTGGGCGGACCACACGGAGAGAGAGAGAGAGAGAGAGAGAGCTGCATCGGATGAAATGCCTCCCACCTTTCGGCCGTTGGAGGAATTAGATTTCTCAATATTTTTTTCCCCACCTCAAGGGGTGTTTCTCGGGGGCGGGCGCGTCCTGAATCAGAAACAGAGCTGGAAGGGACCTTGGAGGTCTTCTCGTCCAGCCCCCCCCCGCCCCCTCCCCCGCTCGAGCAGGAGACCCTACCCCATTTTTCGAACAAGGGGCTGTGCAAATCTCCTCCCCATCACCTCCTCCCTCCCCTTCAGGAGTCAGCAGCCGTGTCTGGAGGGTTCAACCGCGCGCCTTCCCCAGTTTTTTGTGGGGGGCACCACTGTCTCTCTCTCTCTCACACACACACACAGAGAGAGAGAGAGAGAGAGAGAGCTTTCCTGCTAAGGGATGAGCCCCCTTCAGTGTTTCTGTGGAAGGGAAGTCAGAAAGCCAGTGCTCAGAAATCACCCCTCATTCCTTTCACACATGGGTGTGACAATAAACCAGGGTTGGCTGCCAGGTGGGCCCAAGTCTGGATGAAATAGGCTTCCTCTCCACTGTGGTTCTGACTCCCTCAGATCCAGCTATGCTATGGATACATAGAGGGGAGCCTTCTGCACAGGTCAGGCTCCTCATAAGACCCTCACTTTTAATTGCCTGAGGGAGATTGTATAGATTGGACTAACTTCCTGCGATAATAAACTCCCCTTAGTTTCTTCATTTGACCAATGTCCTTAAATGGACATGGTGCTTTTTCAGGAGGCAACTGGACTTTCTTCATTTTTTTTTCTTTTGAAGATGTTTTCGCTTCTCATCCAAGAAGCTTCTTTATATTAAATTTATATTAGGAAGGAAGAAATCCTTTCGTTCCCCATTATCCTCTCAGAGCTGAAGAAGCTTCTTGGATGAGAAGCGAAACGTCTTCAAAAGAAAAAAAAACAAGAAAGTCCAGTTGCCTCTAAAAAAGCACCTTTAGGACAACCTGGATGACTGAGAATCTCTACAGACTTTATACATGAAATAGGAAACTTATCAGTGACACACAAGGACAGTTCACCTTTGGATAATTGTGAATGGGATGCAATGTGGAAGAAAAGTACAGGTAGTCCTCGACTTACGACTGCAACTGAGCCCAACATTTCTTGTTGCTAAGTGAAACATGTTCAGTGAGTTTTGCCCCACTTTACGACATTTCTTGCCACAGTTGTTAAGTGAGTCCCTTCAGTTGTTGAGATATTAACACAGTTGTTAAATGAATTTGGCTTTGCTTCTCGGAAGGTCACAAAAGTTGATCACATGACTCCAGAACACTGCAACTGTCATAAATACATGCCAGTTGCCAAGCATCTGAATTCTGATTAGGTGACCATGGGGATGCTGCTACAGTTGTAACTGTGAAAGGCGGTCATGTCATGCCCCTGATAGAGACTGACTCTGAAAGAGAAGAGGAATAGCCAACAGGGAGTGGGAGTGTGGCTCCAGAGGTGGAGGAGGAGGCTGGGGAAGGGCAGAGGCCGGCTGAGCAGTCAGAGGAGGACCCAGGCCCATCCCCTATTCATCCTAGGGCACGCAGGGAGGAGAGGATAAGGGAAAGACATGGTCTACTCAGGAGGAGAGTTGCAGGTGTGAGATCTGCATAAGAGTATGGACCTGTGTGCTAGCAAACGCTGGAGACAAATTAGTGTTTTATTCCTGGATGAGGTTTATCTTGGTTGGCGTTCTTCCAACAGACCATACCTGGTTATCTTCTTGAAGTTTGTAATTAATTATCCTAGTCTGTCGTGGAACTTTCTTCAGTGTGGTTTGTTTTTGGTATTTTATTGCTTCATTATCTGCTCTTTGAATTTAGACTGTATTTCTTTCATTTAGAATGTTATTTTGGAAAGAGTTTAATCTCCAACTGTGAACAATTGAACAGTGAAGCCAAGTTGAAGGCATTAAAGGACTTTAATTTACATTTTGGTTTTTGTTACATTTGTGGGACACTCTAGGTCATCACAGATCATAAGTCACTTTTCAGTACTGTTCTAAGTTCAAACAGTAACTAAGTGAACTGTTGTAAGTCGAGGACTACTTGTACTGACAGTGTGCATAAGCGTACCAATCATGCCTACCGTCCCTGTCCTATTGTTTCTTTTTATTTTTCTTGTAAGTCTCTATCTCATGTATTCAAAACTATGTTTATTCCTATACCTGTATCTTGTAAGCGATTGACAAATCAAATAAATACTAAAAATACTAATCCTTTAGTGCCATATCCTTTCTAGTCCGGTCATAGGGAGATGAGATCTAAGCTGCAAAATTTCACAAAACTGCCAGCTATCAACAAAGAGATTCGGGAACTCCAGTTATTTGCTTTCCATCTAGAGAAGGTCTAGATTTTTACAGCCAAGATCTTGTATTTCTGTTTATTCAATTACAGCAGTCTTGTTAATTCTACATAGTTTCCTTTTTCCTCCCCCAAATCACATAATCACACTTCTTGTTTATTTCTCAGTTAGCTTAGAAAAAATGGTTTCTAAAACTGCCTACTCAAGAGACTTGATGCAGCATACAAAGAGGAATAAAAACACATCCATACCAATAAAAAGCAGAACAAAAACAATAACTACATTAGGGGTGTACCAAAATTTTAAATCTTGTCACATTCCAACATGTTCAGAATTGTTGTAGCCCGTAATTTCGGTTTACTTAATCTTCGGTAGATAGATAAAAGCACCCATGCCAAGTTTAGTGTCTGCTGGATCCATACCTTAGAATAATGTTCTTTAAAAGTGTGGTCCCAGGACTCCTTGGTTCCCCCAAGAACTTCTCAGAGGTTCTCAATCAAAATTATTTGCTGCCTGTATTGAAAAATACAGCATTACAATATTATATTAAAATTGCATCTTACAATAGTGAGAAGGAGTGGTGGCAGTGAATATGTCAGTTTTAATTATTAATATTGATAAATATAACACACAAGCTAAATGTCCTTTGGGGGTCCTCATAATTTTTAAAAGTGGAAAAGGATCCTGAGTGGGGGAAAAGTTTATGAAATGTTTAGAAAGTTTAGAAAGATAGAAGAACAATATTGCTGGCACTTATATGTGAGAACAAGTCAAAACCTCATATAATAGGGATAGCTCTGGTGATCAGCATCATATTAACTACACATAACTATCCCACCATAAATCATAGCAAATAATAAAAACAAAGAAATTCTTTGCTAATGTACTGCTTCTAAATGACTTTGTCAAAAAAACATTTAAAACAAGATAACAATGTTCTAGTCAGACTACAAGATACCACTCATCCATTACAAATTCATAAAACAAAGTAGAAGTTGACAATGATGACAACAAAAAGTTTTTTTTTAAAGAGACATATTCATGCCCTGTCAGAAGTATTATAACTTGTGCCTGCTTTGCTTTAAAATATTTTTCCCAAATTCCCTTTATGTGTATAAATATATAGCAAATTTGGAGGACAACATGGAGGCCAACAAATTGGAAAAGATCAACCTACATTCCAATACTAACAAAGGAACTTAACAGAGGGTGCAAATTATTGTACGTATAATAGCCTTAACTTCACATGCTAGTAAAATATGGAGCATGCAACATTAGAGCCCTAATGGAAAAAAAGGTACCAGATGTTCAAGTTGGTTTTAGAAAAAGTCAAGGAACATGAGGCATTACTGTTGATGTATGCTGGATAATTGAGAATGCCAAAGAATACCCCCCAAAAAAGTCACTATATGCTTTGTTGATCACAAAAATGCCTTTGATTGCATTGAAGCTGAAAGTGCTCCGAAATTGGGAAACCCAAAGCATCTCAGTATTCTCATGAGAAATATGTACAAATCAGGAAGTAACAGTACACACGGGACAGTGGTGGGATTCAATTTTTTTTTACTACTGGTTCTGTGGGCGTGGCTTGGTGAGCGTGGCAGGGGAAGGATACTGTAAAATCTCCAGTCAGAGGTGGTATTTACCAGTTCTCCGAACTACTCAAAATTTCCACTACTGGTTCTCCAGAACTGGTCAGAACCTGCTGAATACCCAACTCTGATATGGGAGCATATTGAAACAGACTGATCTCAGATTGGCAAAGGTATGTTAGAAGGCTGTATACTCTAAATAAATAAATAAATATCTTATTTATTCAACCTATATGGTGGACATAAATTAAAGAAAGTTGGAAGAAGAAGATAAAATTGGAGGAAGAAACATCAATAACCTGTATTGTGCTGATGACACAACCCTTATGGCAGAAAAAGCAAAGGATCTGCAAGTTCTGGTAATAAATATATATATTAGCATTTGATAAAGCCGCCAGGAAGGCTTTTGAAAAAATATTCAACCACTGTGGTGTTTCTTTTCCTACAAAGATCAGAATCATGTAACCTATGGTATCTATTCCTTCTGAATATCTGTAAAAACAAAAGTTGGTTTTTGAAGAAGCCGGATATGAAGAGTATTAGCACTTTGGAATCTTAGTACTAGTGAAGACTCCTGAAAATTGATTGAACAGCCAAAAAAAAAATGTATTGAAAAGCAAAAAAGCAAAACAAAACAATCCAGAGTTATTATACATCCAGGCTCAAATTATCCTACTTCAGACATTATTATGTGAAGACTCCACTCTCTACAAAAATGTTGGGAAGGTGGAAAGAAAGAGAAGAAAACAGCAGCAAGGTGGATGGATTCAGTTTATAGTGGCAATATTGAAAGACTGAAAGCCCAGGTTAGGAACAGAGAATACAGGTTTTTAAATAATGTGATAATTAATAGCTACATATAACTCAACAGTAC